TCTTCTGCTTTGGTTTGCGGCTGTACCTATGCGGACTGATTCTCTGAGAGTCGTTTTCGACGCGCTGTCTCTCTCGCACTCAGGCAGGGGCAGCCCGTTTGGGTGCAAGGAAGACAGAGCAACGAGAACGACTCTCCGAATCAGTCTGCAACTCGCGAATGTGAAGGCCAGATGAAAGTAAAGATAAAGATAGGGATGAAGGGCGACGGACAAAAGAGCAGTAGCTGATGGATTGGGAGTGAGACAGACAGAAGACAGGCAGACAGACAGACAGACAGACAGGAAGCAGGCAGACGGACAGATAGACAGACAGAGCAGCTGAAAGAGCAATCATTCGCTCCATTACTGATGCTGTACAATGGACTTGCCGGCCGCAGACCGCCGCGCCATGCAGGCCATGCACGCCCTCATTACCTACACTGCCGGAAAACAATATTTCAAATACGACAAATTTTAATGAGGAAGCTGGAACAAGAGGGTTGTTGAAAGTACAGAAAATCGTTTCAAAACGGACATTATTGTATTTTTTTCGCCGCCACGTCCAGATTATACGAACTTGATTATTTTCTTGTTTGCGTTTTCGCTCCCACAATTGGAGGCGCGCGCCGGTAATCCACGTCGCTCTGTCTCTCTCGCACCTGTGGGGGGCGCGCGGGACGTGGCGGGACGCCCCACGAGTGCGAGCGAGACGGCCTGCGCGACCGGTCTTCCGCCTCAGAGCGCCTGCCTGGTGCTGCCTGGCCGAGCCAGGGACGGGGACGGGGACGGGGAGGCCCGCGGTCGCGTCGCTCGGCTGTGAGGCTCCACCCCGACTGCAGACTGAGAGTCGTTTTCGTCGCTCTGTCCCTCTCGCACCTGCACAGGGCGCCCCATGAGTGCGAGAGGGACAGAGCGAGGAAAACGACTCTCAGTCTGCAGGCCTCGTCGACGTGCCCGATGTGAAGCGAGCCGAGATGTGCGCTCGGGCGTGGCGTTATCTGTTTTACTTTTAATGCCGTCAACATCGTTCAGCTCGAGACGAGTCTCGGCACCGCGGAAAAGCAGCGCGCCACTTGACTGGACGCGTGCCTGATGCACTCGCAGTGCGGTGGCTTGCGGTGCAGTGACGTGCAGAGCTTGTGTAGTAGCGGTAGTGGACACATTTTTCGAGTGGCCGGTCAGTTTGTGCGTAATGCTTCTCGAGTGTAAGTGCATGTGTGTGGTGGAAGTGTGTGTGTTACTGCATGCATGCGTCAGAGAGAGAGAGGGGGGGAGAGGGGAAGAGTATGTGTGTGTGTGTGCGTGCGTGTGTCGCGTCTGCTTGTGCTTCTGTGACGAGATGCGACGACATCGATAATAATTGGAAATCGCTCATTTGTGAAATTCCCCTCCGCTGCTGTCTTATCTGTCGTCGGGCACCTGAGCTGCGTGCCGCCCTCGGTGCCGCCGTGCCGCCTGCTGCACGGCTCCCCGTCGGAGACGCTGTGTTCGTCCCTCCGTCTTGAAATAACCCCCCATTCCGCAAAATAGCCAAAACAGACATTTAAACGTCCTCCGAAAGAGCCTCCTCCTTTTGAATTTTTTTTTGCGTCTATCTGTTCAGCGCATCCTTTTTCCGCAGAGTGCACATGTCATAGTGTACCCTCCAATCGACTGGCCGCGCCGCACCGTTTCTATACAAAATCATTCCCTCGCAATCACAATTTTCTCCTCGTCTTCTTTTTACGATCGCTCGTTCACGGCACGTATCAAATTTCTTTTTCAGTCTATCTATTTCGCTTTTCCTATCAACCCTTCCTCCCCCTCCCCTTTTTATCCTTTGTTTCTCTGTCTGTTCGACTCTATACGCGTCCCAGATCGTCAATGCGTACCCTTTTCTTCATTTTTTATTATTTTCTCGATTTTGGGAGGACCCTTCGTCAAACAAGTTGGAAGTCTCGAATTACAACCAAAAATTCCGTAATTTGCGATTTTCTAAAAAAATTGATGATTTTTTTTTTTGTTCATAACAAATGTGCCTGTCCCGTGCAATGAATGAATGAATGAATGAATGAATGAATGAATGAATGAATGAATGAATGAATGAATGAATGAATGAATGAATGAATGAATGGGCCGTGCCTGCGTGCGTGTAAGGCCGTCATCTCCGGATGGGAAATTTACATAAAATGTTGGCAACGAGCAGCACACGCAGTGCGACAAGTTGCACGCCGAGTATTTATCCACGGCACTCCTGCCATTCCCCCTCCCCCTTCCCTGCACCCCTTCCCCGGCCGTCCTCTCTCCCTGCTCACTTCACCCCCGATGGCCCTCTTGACAAAACCCCTCTTGACAGAATAATATAAAGACCACTATTGCTAACACCAGAAAAAAAAGTTGAAGAGCAGGTATGGGACCAATAACAATGGGCGATCACAATGCCTACATGTGTGTGCCTCCGTGTGTGTGTGTGTGTGTGTGTGCCTCCGTGTGTGTGTGTGTGTGTGTGTGTGCTGCCCTTTTCGCCATACGTTCATTGAGAATCCGCATGGCAGCCTTTTTGTTGAGTACCCCCGCTGAGGCCTTCGCGAACATGCAAAGGTGTTGGGACTATACATACAAGTACTCAGTGTTATCGCATCCAAGGGTTCTCCTCTCTGCCGCGTTCCGGGCGTGTGGCTCCGAGCCTCGGCGTGTGTGTAGGTGTGTATGTGTGCATATGTTGTTGTGTGTGTATGTGTGGGTGTGTGTGCGTGTGGGTAAGGTTAGGTAGGGGATTATAGACGCGCAGGCACAATGGCGATGACCCAAAGGATGAAAAAGGCACTAGAGTTTGTGAGAGAGAGACAGAGAGAGAGAGGGACGGAGTGTGTGTGTGTTCATGCGTCCGTTTGTTTATTTAGACGTGATGCAGTATGGAGAAAGGCTTAGAGTCAAAACTTCTCACCCTGTGTATCTCCGACTGTCGATATCGCTCGGGGCGGAAGCCAATAAACTGCCGCAGGACACACACACACACACGCACACTTGCATTATTCCATGGGGGTGACTGCTCTCTCGAAGCCGTCGAAGTGGCGGCAGACAGACTGCTGGAGAGGGGGTGACACCCCCCCCCCTCCCACTTCTTTCACCCCCACCCCCCATCCCCCAACGCAACGCATTGAACAACGCAGTGAACGGCGTGCGGGCAGGAAGAAGCACAGCGAAGGGGTGCAGATCGGGAAAGCTGCAGGAGCGGGCCACGCATTGTGGGGGAGGGGGAGGGGGGAGAAGGGGGAGGGGGAGGGGCAACTTGATCCGGCCGTCATACACTACTCCCACAGTCACGATCCAGTCGGTCGCCACCCGGAGCAGCAGCACATTATTAATAATTGCGCCCCAAGAGGTTTGGCCGTTCGGCCACCGCCACTGTCCGCCCTCGTGTCCGCCCGCCCGTCTGTTTTGATTAAGAACAGTCGCAGTCACTACGCAGACTGAGTGTCGCTTTCGTCGCCCTGTCTCTCTCGCACCTAAACGGGCCGCCCCGTGCGTGCGAGAGCGACGAGAACGACTCTCGGAATCGGCCCACTGCAGGAGTCGGAAAAAAACAGCGTCTGCCACGGAGTAGCCGGGAGTAGCAGTGCGGACAGCGCTTCCGTCGCTCTGTCCCTCTCGCACTCGTGGGGGCGCCCCGCACTCCCGAAGGGGTGCGAGAGCGAGATGGAAGGCGGGTAGGAAATGGCGGTGACGTAATGACATGGGCGTGAAATCCGTTTATCTCGTGAAATTTACACACAGCTCGTCGCCTCATTCATGCAAATTGAAAGGAGAGGGGAGGTGCGGCACCGCGCACTCACTCACTCACTCTGGGTCCCCGCGGGACTAGACGGTCCCGCACCTCGGGGCGCCCCGCGAGCCGAAGACTCCGAGAGTCGTTTTCGTCGCTCTGTCTCTCTCGCACCTATACGGAATGCCCCATGAGTGCGAGAGAGACAGCGACGAGAAGGACTCTCGGAATCAGCCTGCCGTAGGGGAGGAGGGCGGCGGCCCCGGTGGCATCGGTGTCGGCTTAGCGCCGGGACAGGGCTGGCTCCGGACGGCGCCCTGTCTCTCTCGCACCGCGACGCGACGCCCCACGAGTGCGAGAGAGACGGAGCGACGATGGCCCGGACTGCGGGGGAGGGAGGCACTTGAGTGCAAACGCGACCCGCCGCTGCCTATAACAAGATGACGACAAGTCAGCCCGCCCCGCTCGGCTCTGCTCCCCCGCCCCGCCACTGGTAGCCGCTTACAAGCAATTTCCTAAATCCGAAGCCCCTAGTGGCGAAACAAACTTGCTCGGTTTGCTACCGCCAGCGCCAGGACACCCGCTTCTCCGCCGGCCGGCAACCCACGGTGGGTCAGAAGACCGGTGGAGGCGGCAAAATCCCAGGCGCGGCATTTTGCGCTCCAGCCATAGAGTCGCTAAATGGGACTCGAACCGAACGTGTGACCCCACCAATGGATTGCTCTCCCAACGAGGAATTCATTAGTGGGGCCACTGCTCGTTCGGTTGAAGGCCTGTTTAGTGACTCTAGAGCTCAAAACGCGTCCAACGTTTTGGCCACCTCCACCGGTCTTCTGGCCCACTGTGCTTCCAACTGTAAATTTGCGACAACGCGTTTTTCGCGACCCATGTTGTTTTCCCTTTGCTGACCGTCCTTAGACTGACGACACCACACCGCTTTAGGACCTGTTGCAGGACTCGGCATAATTCCAATTTGCGGCTGAGTCGGGGTGGGGGGGGGCGGGGCGGGGGGGGCGGGGCGGGCGGGGCGGGGGGGCGGGGCGGGGCGGGGCGGGGCGGGGGAAAGGCGCGCGACTCCCTGCGGACCAAAAGCAGCCTGCAGCGAGCGAGCGCACATAACGACGTCAAATTTAATTTGTCGGCGCGTGGTTGGCAACGATTGGGAAGGGGCGACAGGAGAAGGCTCGCCTCAGACTAACTTCATTAATTTAGTCGTGGCCGCAGAGCGACCCCCAGTAAGCCTGCTAATTCGTGTGTTTGTTTCTTGTTTTTGCAGGTTCGTGCTTTTTCCTCGCTGTGACTCGTCCAAGGAGCGAGCATGTTCAGTATGTCGCACGTTACTTACTCGACCATTTCGGTTACTTTTTCTTTAAAAACACATTTCAATTTTATTGTTTTTTACTTTTTTGCAATTTTTTCATTTATTAAAAAATTTTATTTTCTGCATTTTTTTTATATTTTTGCACTAATGAGGAACCAAGAGGAACCGTTGCGACCCTCTTCGCCAACAAACTCTTTCCCAACGGCGTTCCCCGCCACCGAGAGTCGCACTTTTTCCCACTTTCGCGAAAGGGTTGAGTGAGGGTTGCATGCAAAACCAACCTGCCGCCGCCGCCGCTCGCCCCGGGAGGGGAAAAGGGTTAGGAACGCGCGGAATTTGTACAGTGTCGCGATCCAGGTGTTTTTCTCACGGCGCGGTCGCTTTTGCTTCGATACAACCCTCGCGGAAACAAGGCCGCCGTTTCCCGAAAACGCGTAAAGGGGAAAAGGGTGGGCCGGATCAGGTTGCCGGCCCTGCAGACTGATTCCGAGAGCCCTTTCCGTCGCCCTGTCCCTCTCGCACCTCTACGGGACGCGCGGCGAGTGCGAGAGGGACAGGGCGACGCCAACGACTCCCGGGAGCAGCCTGCACACGGCAGCTCCACAGGGCGAGGGTTGGCGCGCCTGCCGGCCGCGCACCGGCCAGCCTAACCCTTTCCGCGGGCCTTGCCGGCCTTGCCGCTCCGGCCGAGAATTGGCGCTCCATTCGTCAAAAATGCGGAGAAAAAAGTCTCACGAATGCAATAGTCGAATCAAATGATCGAAAGGGTTGCTCGCTGAGGGGTCGACCGCGAGTCCGGCGTCGCAACCCTTTCGCGTTTTCTGCGGCCAAAAATGACGTCACTGCTAAATCACGAGAAGGCGGTCAGCCGTGGGAGAAACCGCGGAAAAGAATTAAAGTTACTCTCCCAAAAATTTGCTGGCCTTTTCCTGCGATGCGATTCCCGAAACTGTGATTGCGCTTTCGCAGCAGCATTGAGGAGCTTGCATCAAAAGAACGCCGGGATGAGAGAGAGAGAGAGAGAGAGAGAGAGAGAGAGAGAGAGAGAGAGAGAGAGAGAGGGACGTGTCACACAGGTTGACAGTAATCTCCCTGATGTGCAAAAAGCAGACAAGGGTGGGTGCGACGCGGCCTAGGCACGCCCAGGCACGCCCAGGCGAGCAAGGGTGTCTCCGCCCGCAGCAGGACGATGCCGAACCATCAGCCCGTCTCTCTCGCACTCGAGGGGCGCTCCTCAGGGTGCGAGAGAGACAGACGCTGCTGAATCGCTCGGCTGGGCCGCAGGCTTATCTGCACTGCTCATCTCAGCCGCCGTGTATTTACAATAAATCTTCATTTGGGCCTTTTGACGCTGCCGTGCCTGGGGGGGGGGGGGGGGACGCTGCGACAACCCCTTCGCGACGCTCGCTCTCTCACTCCGTCTCACGGCCATTGCGCAAACATAATCTTATCCAATTAACTAACAGGGCGGTCTATTTTTTTTCCATCCCGTTCCCTCGCAGTCAATCAATTCTTCTTTACCGTCAACGTCATCAAAAAATAAAACTATAGTTTCTTTTATCTTAGCAATTTTTTGGGGGATTTGATTTGGAGACCGTTCATAGAGCTCGTGCAGAGCGCTAAGACAGTCAACTTCGACTCCAAACTCCCCTTTTCCTCCCGCGCGCCCCGCAACCCTAACCCACCCAGAGGTACACAGACAGACAGGACAGACAGACAGACAGACAGACAGACAGACAGGCCGGCCGGCGGTAGTTTCGCCGCCTGTCGCGGAAGGAAGATGAGCCAAAATATTGACAGTGGAGCGTCCTCTCGAGGGGAGGCTGTGCCTTTGTGTCGCTGCCTCGACAGGGGGAGCAACCCGTTGCGTCGCGCAGAAGGCTGCCAAAGACTGCTAAAGGTGGCAACGACCGCCTCGCGCGGAAACGGAATCGAACCTGGCGCCGCCGACCCATAGAGATGTCAATTGGTGGACAGCAGCGCAAACATTATCTCAAGGTTTTTGTTCTTTTTATTCATTAAATGCGTGTTTCGAATATGCAGAAGGTGTTGAGGGGTATGGACTGGGCGGGAAAGTTTTATCAACGATAATGAGGGAAGATGGAATAATAACAGCAGTGAGCATCCAGACAGACAGACAGACAGACAGACAGACAGACGCGCAGGTCGGGGAGGAGAGGCCTTTGCTACCCCGCCCGTCTCAGGGGTGGCTGGCCCCGCCCACCGACCACAACCCGTTGGGCGGGTGCCAAAGACTGCTAAAGGTGGCACGACCGCCTCGCGCGGAAACGGAATCGAACCTGGCGCCGCCGACCCATAGAATGTCTTGGTGACGCAGCGCAAACTTATCTCAGGTTCTGTTCTTTTTATTCATTAAATGGTGTTTCGAATATGCAGAAGGTTGAGGGTATGGACTGGGCGGAAAGTTATCAACGATAATGAGGGAAGATGGAATAAAACAGCACGGAGCAGCGACAGACAGACAGACAGACAGACAGACAGACAGACGGGCGAGCGAGGCGCTGCTACGCCGTCGTGCTGCAGCAGTGGCTGGCCCCGCCCACCGATTCTCACTCCCTGATTGGGCGGTGCCCCTCCCCCCTGCCCCTCCCTCCAGGCGCGCCGCTCCCCTCCCCCTTCACCAGACTCGGGCTCATGTTTCAATCGTTATTGGTGCGGCGTGGACAGGGAGGGAGAGGTGCGGGCTGCGGGGGGAAAGTGAGGGAGAGGACGGAGCAAAGGGAGAGGATCGAGCAAAGGGAGAGGATCGAGCAAAGGGAGAGGATCGAGCAAAGGGAGAGGATTGGTGAAGGAGAGGATCGAGCAAAGAGAGGATTGGTGAGGGAGAGGATCGAAAGGGCGAGGGATCAGGTAAAGCGAGAGAATGGGCCAAATTGGGGACAGGTTGAAGCAGAGGCGGATCTAAAGGCAGGGAGCCGTCGAGAAGTCGCTCGGCGTGCCGCGGAGTCGCGGAGGCTGGCGGCTTGGCTCCGCGTGGCTCCGCGTAGCTCCGCGGGCCGGGCGTGCTGACTACAGAAGCCTTTGACCGGGATGGACTGCTGATCTAGGCGGGTCGGCGCGGCCGGCGCGGCTGGCGTCTGGTCTAGCGGCGTAGACCAGGGACGGTCTTGGGACCCTGGCTGGATCACTATTCCCACGTCGAACTCATGGTGGTCAGCAGTGTATGGGTCAGTGGCCCGGCCGGCGGTCTAGGCCTTGGTCTGGGCGGCCCGCTGCCCGAACGAATCCCAAAGACCGACCCGCCGTGGCCGTGGAGGTTCAATGCACGGGGACAGCTCAGGTAGGCTGGCGCGACGGCCGCCAGGACGTCCACGGCGTCCATGACGACCCTGACGTCCACGACGTCCATGGGCGCCCATTACGTTCCTGACGTCCACGGCGTCCATGGGTGTCCATGACGTTGACGTCCACGGCGTTCGTAGGCGTCCTTGACGTTCTTGACGTCCATGGGCATCCATGACGTTCCTGACGTCCATGACGTTCTTGATGTCCATGACGTTCTTGATGTCCATGGGCGTCCATGACGTTCCTGACGTTCACGACGTCGGCGTCCATGGGCGTCCATGACGTGCCTGACGTCTACGGCGTTCTTGGACGTCCATGACGATCCTGACGTCCACAGCGTCCACGGCCGCGGCCAGACAAGGAGGCAGGCAAGGACAGTGATGGATAGTTGGCGAGGGGCGCCTGCTTCACTGCGAAAAATTCCGTAGTTCGGTACGGAAAATATACGGAAAGTGATGAGCGGAAGGTAAAATATTGCCTTCCGTACTGTTTCTTTCCTTTCTTTCAGTGTTCCTCCTGCTCGGGGCGTTGAGTCCTCGGGGGCTTCGGGCCGTCCTTTCGCTCTCGACTCTCTTTTCGGGTAAATGCGCCGTGTCGCTCGGGAACTTGGAAAGGGAGACGCGTGTGGTCACGGTGGCGGCGAGGCCAGGCGACGCGTCCTCGCTCCGTCTCTCTCGCACTCACGGCGATTGCCGCGAGGGTGCGAGAGAGACGGAGCGAGGGAGTGCGGGCTCCCCTCGCCGCGTCTCCACGTTTCCACCTCGTCACGAGGACTTCGTTAAGGAAAAGGGTTACGCTGCACTCCTGTTTACCCGTTTACCTGTTTCGGGAGAAAACCGGCGGCGATACCCCGAAACGGGGCCTCTATCCCGAGAAGAGGGTGGCCGATCGGCCGAGAGGCGCCGAGAGGGGTGCGGCCGTGACGACGCGCCGATGACGCGCCGATGACGGGGCGAGACGGAGTTCCTTCCTCTTTTCGGGAAGCGTCCCCCCCCCCCTTCCCCGCCAAGGGAGCGTGGACACCGCCACGGTTCCGACGTGGTTAGTGCGGAGCGTTTTTTGTTTGCCCGCCGCGAGGGAAGGGAGTCAGCAGAGGGCCCCTCGTAGGGCCCCTCGTGGGGCACAGCGGCAGTCAACAGTCAACAACGGCGACGACGACGACGACATCAACAACAACAACAACTACAGCAACAGCGGCGGCAGCAGCAGTGGTATAGGTTTGCATAGACAGCGCGCCCGACCTGAGCCGCAAGACACTGGTGCATGCTGGCTGCCTACCTTGCACGGCGTTTCCGCGCGCTGCTCCGTCCAGTCAGCCAGCGAGCCTCCTCCTCCTCCCACGCGCCTGGGCACGCACACACGCACACACACGCACACACACGCACACACACACACACACACACACACACACACACACACACACACACACACACACACACACACACACACACACACACACACTGATGATGGTGATGAATGTTTCGAGGAATGTGCCCTACCTGCGGACAGGTGTCTGCGCGAGACACTCCACTAACGAGGCGCACGTGACGTAGGGGAGAGAGGGGGGGGGGCATGGAGACGTCGCTTTGCCGTGGGGGTGGACGGCGTGCATAGTACAGCAGACTGATTCCGGAGCCGTCGCTCTGTCTCTGTCGCACCTTCAGGGGACGCCCCGCACGAGTGCAAGACGAAAGCGAC